AACATTGGTCTGCCCCCCCAGCTATAACCTGTAGCTCTTGGTTTTCTCTTGGGCTGTAAGGTCCTGGAGGGTAGAGACTGGGACAGTCTTGGTCATTTTGATATTTCCTGTGCTTGGCTCAGTACCTAACCTACAGTAGATATTAAACACATATCTGTTAATTGACTGATGACACAGTGACACTCAGGAGTCCTCCTGAGGCTTCCTTTGGAAATGGCTGGCCACCTTCCTGCTCTTGAGGTCCTCTTTTTTAGGGAGGGATTCTCCCACTTGTGGGAACTTACTGGATGATTTTAGGGGGTGCACAGATTCTACCTGAAATAACATCACCATGGAGAAAGGGGAACTTCCCTCTTCCATTATCTTTGAATTTTCCTCATTGTACAGAGGAAAATTGTTAGTGTTACTCCTTATCACTTCTCCAACACTTGCTGATCTCGGATTCTTACAAAGTCCTCAGTTTCACAGTTTCCTGCACATACCGGTATTTACCTAGATTATAACATTATATTATTTTCACTGTGTATATATTTTATAGATACTTTGTTAAAGTGGGAAGTGATTTAAGGTAATGCTATGGTGTTCCTCTCTTAAATAAACTTATTTAGGTCTTTTAAAATAGCAAATTGACTTAAAGACATTAAACACAGGTGTATGTGTCTGTGGCCAGTGTTGTGAAGGGGGGGGTGCCTTTGGTGATAGTTGGGGGACCGCTCACTGTTCCAGGCAGAGCAGGCCCTTCTGGAACACAGACTAACTCCAAATGAGTCCCTGGGCCAAGTGCCATTTAGTTTGTTCAGTGATATGAGAAGTTATTCAGCTGAGTATGAATGAGCCTTTTCCCTGGACCTCAGTGCATGAATTTGGGGGACCTCTTTGTCAATCGCAGTCTATTTTGCTTTAATGTGTAGGGCCTCTGTTCTTTTCTGTGCAGTTCCGACAACTTGGTATGAACTCCATGGTCATGAGTAGAGAATGGTGGATCTGGGACACAGAATACTTAATATCCTGATGTTAAAGCTCCCTAGTGAAGTCTGGCCCTGGGCTTTTCTTTGTCCATCTTATAAGCCAGACAAACATGAGCTATTATTTGAGAATGCACCAAATAAATAACCTATTGCACAGCTTTGCGCAACCCAACTACTGAAAGATAGAACTCAGCTACATAATTTCTAAGGTCCAAAAAATTGGACTTTCCAGGGCCCTAAGCACCCTTTACCCTCTGTGCCAGTCGGATCTCCTATTCTTTTCAGTCCAGATGGATGGTGTTAGGTATTTAAAATATGCAGCAAGTATACATCTTGGCATTCCTTTGACTCAAAATGTGCCAGCTTTGTGTATTTTCTGTAGTATACTAATACCCAATTTCTCCATAAGTCAAACATTCAGCAAATTTAAATGTTTGGCTTGAAAGCTGTGTGGCTTTGGACAAGTACTTAACCTCTCTGAGCTTCAGTTTACTTCCTTGAGTGTTTGAAGATTAAAGGATATAATGCAGGTGAAGCAGTGTCCAGCATTCAATAAATGGCTGTCATATTTTTAGTTTGCTTCTCACCAGTCCCCTCCCTCCAAGAAGCTGCACTCTAATTTGATTAGCTCTCCAAACTATATCTCGGCAGTTTCCTCTCCACCCCTTGCAGTCATTCAGTCATTTCTTTACCAAGATCTACTGACTGCCTTGTTTTGTGCTGCACGCTGTCTCCGCTAAGCAGGAATCAAGCCAGGTCCCCAAGCCAGGTCCCCAAGCCAGGTACCAAGCCCAAAGCCGAGTAAGAAAGAGACTCCCAAACGGAGCAGATGGGCTGGAATGGAGGTATGTGGCCCGTGCAGCCAGAGCGAATGCGGCGGCAATGTCTCACTGAGACTTGGGGGTGTGAGGAGTCGACGGAGAGGGGGTGTCATTCAGGCAACTGGCAGTGCCCGTACAAAAAAGCACAAGCACAGGAGAGAGCGCGAACTGCTGGTGTACGCCTAAAGCCTGGGTGCATCTGGGGCAAGCTTCAGGACCCGGGGCCGGAGGGCTTTGAATCGGGGTTCCTCCAACTGACAAAAGGAGCCCCGAGGAGCTTGAGCTCAGGAGTGAAGCCTCGGCCCGGCCAAGCCACCTCGAAGGAACGGTTCCGGCCAGTGCACCACTAGAGCCTGTGGACCCCCGCTGCGGCCGACCGAGTACACGCCAGCCACTGAAGGCGGAAATCACTGCCCGCGAGCTAGCGGACTGCGGCTGCACTACCAGCATACACAGCGGTGGGCGGAACCGGAAACTCCGGGCGCGTGGCTGGTGGGCCCGATTGCGCGGTTGCGGCCCAGGGGGCGGGCCCGGCTCTCTCTGGACAGCTGATTGGTCGGCCCCCGGCAGCGCGGCCGCGGCTCCTGGAACTGTCATCTCCGAGGGGTGAGTACTGGGTTCGAGCCTGGGCTCCTCAGGCTGCCGAATTGCTTCTCGGTTCCCGGCTAGCACCCCCGGCCTTCCGAGGTGTCCCCGGAGAGGTAGAGCCAGGCCCGGGCTCGTCTTGGGCGCGCTGCTCCTTTTCTGTTCCAGACTATCGGGCCAGGACCGCTCAGGTAGTTTTTGTGGGGGAGGGGCGAATCATGCGTAGCCTACGGGACCTCGTCCCTAGAGAAAGGTAATGCGGGGCTGTGGCGTGGAGGACAACCGAGTGGATCAGGTAGAGGCCTGGGGGCTGAAGCCTGGCGAAAGCCTCAGAGGAGGCCTCAATCCAGGACTGAGGGGTGGGAGGGCAGGAGGAGGCGGCAGGGGACTTGCGTGGGTCTGGACGAGACCGCCCAGGATGAGGTCAGAACCCCTGGAGGTAGGACCATTCGGGGAATGGGTTGAAAGAATAGGAGCCAGCCAAGAACAGCCATAAAGGTACAGAGGACCGCCCCAGTATCCAAGGCATGTTTAATGATTTTGTGATTCTTGGCAGAACGGGAGGCCACACTGAGATAAAGCGAGATACGACCTAATAAGTGTATTTTAGATGTGGGCATCACTTTGGTAAGCCGAAGACATAATTAATTTTTTAAAAGATTGTATTATGGAAGTGTTTAGACCTATATAAAAGTCAATAAAACACGGAAAGTAGCATACCATATGGATCCAAGTTCTAGTCACCCAGCCTCAACCACAAATGGCCACCCTGGTTGCATTACACATATCTTAAGATTCGCCTCAAATCCATACCGGTAATATGTCAATCTTAAATTTAAAAACAAAAAAGTTCCTTTCATGTTTAATGGGTATAGAGGTTCAGTTTTGCAAGATGAGAAGAGTTCTGGAAATTGGTTGCACAACAACTACTGAACTGTAACTTAAAAATGGTTAAGATGGTAAACTTTATGTCATGGGTTTGAACCACAAATCTTTTTAAAGTTTCTTTCAAATTAAAAAAAAAAAAGATGCTGCAAATTAGGGGGAAAATCTGATCTTCAAATGTGCAATGGAAAGTAATTCATTGCCAAGTAGAGGCCCATAGAATTGTTTTTAACTATGGAGGCTCTGGAATGAACCTGTTGGTTTTGGTGCTCAGAGCAGTGGGACCTGGCCTGGGGTGCAGTTTAAACACTGGAGGTGCCCTCTGGTTTATACCAGACCTAACCTGAAGGGTTAGGCCCACCTGGCTTTGCCAGATTTCTCCTGAATATTCCTGTTTCTTACACTCAGAGGCATACCTTTAACCCATAGTCAAGCTCCTGTACCTTCATTCACAGAGGGTGAGTGAAGTGTGAATTTGTCTTTTTCTCTCCATTCTCATTCTTTAGGGCACACCTGGGTACTCTGTCTCCAATCTACTCCATCTCCCAAATGTACCACAGGTCAGCCTTTCACACTCCTTGGTGTTAACTGGTAGGCAACCTCTCTCTTCCAAGTGAGCCCTACATGGGTAGCCCTGAAACCTCCTTTTGCCCTCCCCAAACAAACAAAACAAACTATAAAATGAGAAAACAACTGCCAGGTTTGGGTTTTGGGCTCCCCTTATCTTGCTCTAGGGGCCCCAGGACCGGCTAAATTTTCTTACTGTAAGTTGGCTTTTATTAGAGAGTCAAACAATAATTGGATAAAATTTGCATCAGAAAGTTATATTAGAGGGGTCACTTGGCCGGCCAGTTGGTGGAGCATGTGATCCTTGATCTTAGGGTTGTGAATTCAAGCCCCACATTAGGCATAGCACTTTAAAAAATAAAATGCAGGCATCTGGGTGGCTCAGTTGATTGAGAGTCTGCCTTCAGCTCAGATCATGGTCCCAGGGTCCTGGGATCGAGCCCCATATGGGGCTCCCTGCTGAGCAGGAAGCCCGCTTCACCCTCTCCCTCTGCCTGCTGCTCCCTCTACTGTGTTCTCTCTCTCTCTCTGTCAAATAAATAAAATCTTTTAAAAAAATAAAATATATGCATTAAAAATAACTTATATTAGTTTTTGAGTAATGGCTATTTAGAACTATTCAGGAAAAAAATTAGACACTTGATCATATCACTAGATAGTAATGATGGTAAGACGGAATTAGTGACAGGGCTGCTGGTAATGAATGACAAAGCAAAAGCTAGATTCAATCACAGGGTGAGCTTGCTTAGTGCTCGATATATAAATATATATCTTTTTTTAAAGATTTTTATTTATTTATTTGAGACAGTGAGTGAGAGAGAGACAGCATGAGAAGGGGGCATGTTAGAGGGAGAAGCAGGCTCCCCACAGGGCGGGAGCCTTACTCAGGGACTCGATCCTGGAGCAAACTGAGCCACCCAGGTGCCCTGTAGATATATACCTGTTCACTGAGAGCTATCAAGATGATTGTTATTGAAGTATCTGCAGGAAATACTGCTGTTGCTCATATATAACTCATTTACCCTTTAACTTCCTTTTTCTCCATAGAAACAGTTATGATTTTGGATTAAGTGAGTTTTGTTTAGGAATACAGCCATCATGTTACATCATAACTGCCTGTACACAGGAGGTGATATGAAATCAATGAACCATTTTCTTCTGTTTTTCTTTGTAGGGAAGATGGAAGAGCTGAGTCAAGCCCTGGCTAGTAGCTTTTCTGTGTCTCAAGATCTGAACAGCACAGCTGCCCCACACCCCCGCCTGTCCCAGTACAAGTCCAAGCACAGTTCCTTGGAGCAGAATGAACGGCGCCGTCGGTTGTTGGAACTGCAGAAATCGTAAGGAATGCTTTAACTTTTGGCCTCTTTCTCAGGTTAGGAGCTGGGAGCCAACCAGGAAGCTCTAGGTCTGGTTTCTTCAAAGTAGCCCCTTTGCCCATGAAGTTGGGAGGCAAAAATCCTGGCAGAGGTAGACATCCTGTACACTGAAAGCTTAGGAAAAGATGGAAACATCAGCAGATACTGAAATTTGAAAGCAAAAGCTCACTTATTTGGTTAAATTTTTCTTTTTTTCCTGGCAGCAGTACCGAGCTTTGCGATTTAGGGACTTGTGAAAGCCACACCCAGACTTCCACTCCCCACATTCCCCGTGTGGCTTCTGCACTCTGAATCCTGGCATTGGTGTGGTCTTCCTGTCTGCCTTCAGCCCAAATGTTTCTGTGGAGCCCTTGAGAGTTCAGTACAAATAATTCCACAGGGAATCTGAGGAAATGTCTTCCATACACTGAATCCTCAGTGCCAAGATGAGCAAGCAGGCGAAGAGAGCAGGATAGGAGAGTTTGAGGCTGGGCTGCTCTGAAGGCAGGCCCTGTCCATTTTTCCTGTGTACAACATGAGCCTCTGGGTCATAAGGAATTGAGGATTTGAAGGAACTATTAACAGCTGCACAGTTTCTCTATGATCTGCATTCTGCCCAGTGCTGCGTCTTTGGCTGTATTTAGCAGAAATGGTTCCCTGTGGCCTCTGGGTTGTTTGTAGATTACATTCTCAGATCACCTCCCCCACTCCCCACCCCCACCTCTGTTGTTTAAATATTATAATTAATTATTTTGGAATAGGTAACACATTGATTGTATGTATTCCGATTCAAAATTCAAAATTTCACTCATATGTGGACTCTGAAAAATAAAACAATTAAATAAACAAACAAAAAGTAGAATCAGACTGTAAACACAGAGAACAAATCTGTGGCTGCCAGAGGGGAGGGGGTAAGGATGGGCACAATGGGCGAAGGGGGTGGGAGAGGCAGGACTCCAGTTACAGGATGAATGAGTCTTGGAAATAAAAGGCACAGTGTAGGGAATACAGTCAATGATATTTAATAGTGTTGTATGGTGATAGATGGTAGCTACACTTGTGGTGAGCACCAGAGATAACAGAAGTTGCTTCATTGTATGTACACTGGAAACTAATGTAACCTTATGTGTCAACTGTACTCAACAAAAAAACATTAAGAAAATAAAAGTCTACCTCCCAATTCTGTCCTCTGGCCATTCAGTTCCTCTCCCATATTATTAGTTTCTTTTGTATCTTTCCAAAGATATTCTGTGCAGATATGAGCAAGTGTGTGGTTGTATGTGTATATGCCATTTTTTTAAAACAGAAGCAGTGTACAATACACTGTTCTGCACATTTTATTTAACAGCGTTTTTTTTTTCAGAGATTCTGTATCAGTACCATCCTGCTCGGCAGAAAGTCTGCTTGTCCCTCTCCTTCTGCCCCTCCCCCTGTTGTGCACTCTCTGTCTCTTTAGGCACCCCTAAATAAATAAAATCTTTAATAAAAAAATATTAAATCATAAACTAAGAGGCCTGTTATGAAAGTCAGATAAGAACCGGAGGAAGGGCACACCTGGGTGGCTTAGTTGGTTAAGTGTCTGCCTTTGGATCAGGTCATGTTCCCAGGGGCCTTGGATCAAGCCCCACATCAGGTTCCCTGCTCCACTGGGAGCCTGCGGCTCCCTCAGCCCCTCCCCGTCTCGTTCCTTCTCTCTCTCTCTCAAATATTTTTTTTTAATGATTTTATTTATTGATTTGACAGAGAGAGATCACAAGTAGACAGAGAGGCAGACAGAGAGAGAGAGAGAGAGAGAGGGAAGCAGGCTCCCTGCTGAGCAGAGAGCCCGATGCGGGACTCGATCCCAGGACCCTGAGATCATGACCTGAGCCGAAGGCAGCAGCTTAACCCACTGAGCCACCCAGGCGCCCCTCTCTCAAATATTTTAAAAAAAAATTTTTTATTTGAGAGAGGGAGAGGGAGAACCAGGCTCCCTGCTGAGCAGAGAGACCAATGTGGGGCTCAATCCCAGGACCCTGGGATCATGACCTCAGCCAAAGGCAGACTCTATTTTTTTTTTTTTTTAGATTTTATTTATTTATTTGACAGAGATCACAAGTAGTCAGAGAAGCAGGCAGAGAGAGAGGAGGAGGAAGCAGGCTCCCTGCTGAGCAGAGAGCCCGATGCGGGGCTTGATCCCAGGACTCTGGGATCATGACCTGAGCTGAAGGCAGAGGCTTTAATCCACTGAGCCACCCAGGTGCCCCAAATAAATAAAATCTTAAAAAAAAAAAAAAAAGGGAGCTGAAAGAAGGCCTGCAGCTTCTTAGAAAGCCATATAAATTAGGGGCACCTGGGTGGCTTAGTCAGGTAAGTGTCCCATTCTTGATTTTGGCTCAGGTCATGAGTCATGATCTCAGGGTTGGGCTCCATGCTCAGTGGGGAGTCTGCTTGCGAGTCTCTCTCCCTCTGCCTCCCCCCACATGCACACACATTCTCTCTCTCTCTCTCTTTCTCTCTCAAATAAATAAATACATCTTTGAAAAATAAAGAAAGAGGGGCACCTGGGTGGCTCAGTTGGTTAAGCATCTGCCTTCAGCTCAGGTCATGATCCCAGGGACCTGGGATCAAGCCCCATGTTGGACTCCCTGATCAACAGAGAGCCTACTTCTCTCCATCTGCTGCTCCCCCTGTTTATGTACTCCTTCACTCTCTCTTTCTGTCAAATAAATAAATAAAATATTTTTAAAAATAAATAAGTAAGAAAGAAAGAAAGAAAGCTGTATACATTGGAAACTCCTCACATCTCAGTGACTCCTCTCTTTAATTACCGGGAACCTTTGGATAAGATGCCTGCCAGGCAGGAAAGTGTCAGCTCTAAGGGGGGAGTAGAGATGAGAATCTGGAATGGTGTGTGCAGGAGCAGGGTCAGCCTTTCCAGCTAGTGAACCTTGAAAATTCCTTTCAACATGTTACTCTGTTTTTAGGATACTCTGAGGAAGGCTGAGTGCACTCAGAGGGGGTTAGTTTAGCATTACAAAGGAAATTCTACCATCTCTTCCACTAGAATCCCCAGGCTGCTCCTGAACTTGAAACCCTTGAGTTAAACTAAAATTGTCACATTGTAGGGGGTCTTCCAAGGAGACATAAAAGGCCTGTCCTTGTGCCTTCTTTTCTCCAGCAAGCGGCTAGATTACGTGAATCATGCCAGAAGACTGGCTGAAGATGACTGGACAGGGATGGAGAGTGAGGAAGAGGAAGATAAGAAAGATGATGAAGAGATGGACATTGACACTGGCAAGAAGTTACCAAAACGCTACGCTAATCAAGTGAGTAGTCCCGGGAAGGTGAGGCCCAGGTCCAGCCCCACCGAAGCAAATGTTGCCATAAAGAGAGGAGGAGACAGGAAGAAGGAATGGGGGACTGCAAAGAGGCTGGTTATGTGCATCAGGTATAAGGACTAAGAGAAGAAATGGCTTCTGGTGCCATGTGGTAATGGGGTCGGGGAAGACGCTTGTCACCAAGGGAGGCTGGGGTGCTGGGTTTGAGAACATTTACCCAGTGCCACTGCAGAAAGCCACTGGGCTATTGCTACACTAACAGAGTCCATGCACTTAACATTTCTTAGTGGTCATTGTAGGGCAGCTCTAGATCGGGCCTGCCCAGGCTAGCACTGTGCCCACCCCACCTCCTAGGTTATGGGTCTTTCCTTAGCAGTAGACTAACATGTCAGTCTTGGATCTTCACATTCAGATGGTGGAAGGTGGGGAGGACAGCTGCTCTTGAATATGGGGCGCCTGGCCAGCCACACCAGGCCTGCCAATTGGCCTACATGAGGTTGAGGCCATGAAACAATAGATGACAATAACAAACTTGACTAAGTGGCCTGTTGGTTGCAGAAAGAAACCAGTGTGGTTTGTGGAGCCACAGGGGAAGCAGGCATGGAGACCGTTCAGTACCCCATGGCACCCAGGTATTCCAGAAGGCAGGGGATGGGTCCATGTGGAGTCGGGCTCTACCTTGCAATTATATTCTTCTCTCTATATCTATATCTTGTCGGTTCAGAATCCTGTCCCACCTTAGGATATGGTTTCTGGGGGTGCCTGGGTGGTTCAGTCAGTTAAGTGTCTGCCTTCCGCTCACCTTATGGTCCCAGGTTCCTGGGATCGAGCCCTGCATCTGGCTCTCTGCCCAGGAGGGAGCCTGCTGCTCCCTCTCCTTATGCCTGCCGCTCCCCCTGCTTGTTCTCTTCCACCACCTCCTGCCAAATAAATAAATAAAATCTTAAAAAAAAAAAAAAAGAATATGGTTTCTGGGTACACCCGCTCCCATCTTCTTTCTGTGTCCCCGATGCAGCACAGTAACATCTTCTGTGATAAAGTACAGTTCCTTTCTGTTCCGCAGCATTGTTGAAGGCCCTGCTCTGTATTAAGCTAGACTATGTGTGGGAAGATGGACAAGGGTCCTGTACTAGAATAAGTGGAGATTATGGTTTTTGCTGTAAGAAAGTGAGATTAGCTAACAGCAAGGAAGGAAGCAAGGTTATGAAATCAGGAAAAGGTTATTGAAAGAGGAGGCAGCTTTTTCCTTTTTTTTTTTTTTTAAGATTTTATTGATTTATTTGACAGAGAGAGAGATGACAAAGAGGCAGAGAGGCAGGCAGAGGGAGAGGTGGGAGGCAGGCTCCCTGCTGAGCAGAGAGCCCAATGCGGGGCTCGATCCCAGAACCCCAAGACCATGACCTGAGCCAAACGAAGGCAGAGGCTTAACCCACTGAGTCACCCAGGCGCCCCAGCTTTTTTCTTTTTTAAAGATTTTATTTATTTATTTGAGAGAGGGAGAGAGTGTATAAATGAGCAGGGGGAGAGGCAGAGGGAGAAACAGACTCCCCACTGAGCAGGGAAGCCCGACACAGGGGCAGGGCTCATCCCAGAACCCCGGGATCATAACCTGAGCCAAAGACAGCCACTTAACCCACTGAGCCCCCCAGGCGCCCCAAGAGGAGGTAAGACATTGACAGGCAGAGGTGCAGAGCATGCCAGGGCCTTCCAGGCAGCAAGAAGAGGCTGAGCAAGAGCCCCGAGGTGGGAGGAGTATATGGTGTGCGGAGAGCAGTGCAGGCCAGTGAGGATGGATCAGCACAGCGCTGTGGGAAGGAATACAGCAGAAACATCTGCGGGAGTGTAGACTGTGTTTTAAATTCTGGGGAACCACTGAGAATTTTTGAGCCAGGGACAGAGTTGGGACTTTGTATGACACGCATGTCCATGTCGAGGAGAGCCTAGAAGAGAGAGGCTGGAGTAGGTTGCTTAGCTTTGCTAAACCATCTGCTGCCGGTGCTGAGGGCAGTGAAGGTGCGAAGGAAATGAGGTCATGAGTGTGAGAAGTGTCGCCAGGACGAATGGATAGAATTTAACAGTGGATCGGATAGAAGAGGCAGTGTGAGAAGTGGTTAAGTATTTAAGCTTTAAAGTCACGTCCCCCTGACCTCAAGTTAGGCTCTTTGTTGACCTTGAGCAAGTCACTTAATGGCTCTAAGTCTTGGTTTCTTATCTGTAGAGTGGGGATGGTTACAGTACTATTTCACAAGATTGTTAGAAGGATTGAAACAAATAGTATACCCTAAATGCCTAGCCCAGAGCCCATAATAAATGCCCCACAAATGTTAGCTACCATTTTTTTTGACAGCCGTGTCGAGATAAATGAACATACCATACAATTCACACATTTACAGCGTACAATTCAGTGTATTTTGGTGTCATCACAGACCTGTGCAACCATTGCCACTCTCTAATTCCAGAACAATTTCATCACCCCAAAAGGACCCTCATACCCATCAGCAGTCAACTCCCATTCGTCCTTTCCCCCAGCCCTTAGCACTCAGTCATCTACTTTCTGTCTCTCTGGATTCACCTCTTCTGGACATTTCCTATGAATAGAATCATATGAGATGTGCTCTTTGTGTCTGGTTTCTTTCGTTTAGCATAAGGTTTTTCAAGTTCATCTGTGTTAGAATGTGCGTGAGAACTTCATTTCTTTTTATTCCCAGATAATGTTCTGTTGTCCGGATCCCCCGCATTTGGCTGGTCTACCCATCAGGTGGTGGCATTTGAGTTGCTCCCACTTTCTGGCTGTTGTGAATAATAATGCTGCCGTGGATAGTCACGAACAAGTTTTTGCATGGATATGTTTTCATTTCTCTTGGGTATATACCTGGGAATGGAATTCCTAGGGCGTATGGTCATTCTATGTTTAACATTTTGAGGAGCTGCCAGACTATTTTGCAGAGCAACTAGAGTGTTTTACATCCCCGCCAACAGTGGATCAGGGCTCCAGCATCTCCACCTCTCTGCCAATGTTTCTTGTTGTCCATTCCTTTGAGTATAGCCATCCTGGAGGGTATGAAGTGGTGTCTCATGGTTTGTTTGTTTTTTCAAGATTTTATTTATTTATTTGACACAGAAAGACACAGCGAGAGAGTGGGAGAGGGAGAAGCAGGGAGACGGAAGCAGGGCTCGAACCCAGGACCCTGGGATCATGACCTGAGCCAAAGGCAGATGCCTAGCAGCTGAGCCACCCAGGCGCCCTGTGTGTCTCATGGTTTTGATTTCCATTTCCTTATGGACTAATGATATTGAGCATCTTTTCATGTGCTTATTAACCATTCATATATCTTCTTTGGAGAAATGTCTATGCCCTTTTTTGTTTTTTTAAGTGAGGGGGACAGGGAAAGAGAAAGAAAGAGAGAGGAGGGGCAGAGGGGGAGAGAGAGAGAGAGAATCTTAAACAGACTCCTTACTGGGCTCAGTCTCATGACCCTGAGATCATAACCTGAGCCAAAATCAAGAGTCATACGCATGACCAAGTGAGCCACTCAAGGCGCCCCTCTATGCCCATCTTTTTCTTTTTTTTTTTTTTTTAAGATTTTATTTATTTATTTATTTGACAGAGAGAGATCACAAGTAGGCAGAGACGCAGGCAGAGAGAGAGGAAGGGAAGCAGGCCCCTTGCTGAGCAGACAGCCCGATGTGGGGCTCGATCCCAGGACCCTGAGATCATGACCCGAGCCAAAGGCAGAGGCTTTAACCCAATGAGCCACCCAGGCACCCCAACTACCTATGCCCATCTTTTAATTGGGTTGTCTTTTATTATTAAGTGTTAAGAGTTCTTTATATATTCTAGATACAAGTTTCTTATCAGGTAGATAATTTGCAATATTTTCTCCCATTCTGTGGGTTGTCTTTTTACTTTCTTGATGGTATCAGCAGCGACACTAAAGTTTTCAATTTTGATGTATTCTTATTTATCTATCCCTTGTTTTGTCACCTGTGCTTTTGGTGTTGTATCACTACCATTCTTTAAGGACACATTGACTATGTTTAGTTGAAGATTCGTTAACAGAGGAATGCCTGGGTGGCTCAGTCAGTTAAGCGTCTGTCTTCGGCTCAGGTCATGATCCCATGGTCCTGGGATCGAGTCCCACATCTGGCTCCTTGCTCAGCCGGGAGCCTTCTTCTCCCTCTGCCTGTGGTTCCCCCTGCTTGTGCGTGCTCTTGCTCTCTCTCTCTCTCTCTCTGACAAATAAGTAAATAAAATCTTTTAAAAAAATGAGATTTGGTAACACAGAATGGTATTACCATTAACAGGGCTACAGAGTACAGAAGGAGAAGGTGGGGAGTTTCAGGGATGGAAAGTACTTGGGCGACTGAAGGCCATGAATCCTGTTTTGGGGACTCTGAGTTAAGGTATAGAGAGAGCAAGCAGAGAAAGAGATACCATGTGGACGGCTGGAAATACAGGTCTGGAGGAAAGGAAAGCAGTTAGGAGATGAAAAAGCGGGAGAATTGGGGTACCTGGCTGGCTCAGTTGGTGGAGCGTGCAACTCTTGACCTCGGGGTTGTGAGTTTGTGCCCCATGTTGGGTGTAGAGCTTACTTAAGAAAAGAAAGAAAGAGAGAGAGAGAAAAACAGAAGGAGAATTGGGGGTGTCCTCTCAGAAGTAGCAGGTGAGGATGCAGAAGTAGATACAACCAGCCCCAAGCAGATAACATCTAAGAGAAAAGAAAAGGGGAACCTAAAACAGCCTCCTGAAGATTCTCTGCGTGTTTTGGGGGAGTGTGTGGAGGAGTGTTTGGAGGGAAAATAAAGAATAGCACTGGCTCACATGGCCAAGGGAACATGTGTCAAGGAGAATGAGGAGGTGGTGACCGGCAGCGTCACACGAGGAGTGGAGGGGGGTGGGTAAGGGGGAGGGAAGGGAAGAGAGACACTTGGCAGCAAGCAGGTCACTGATGGCCTCTGGCAGGGCTTCGGGGTAGCAGGTCTGGACTGAGGATGTCAGGGTGCGGGGGAGGACAGCATCTAGAAATATGAAGTTGTTTTAAGAAGGACAAAGTGGGATAGTTTAACAGAAACACAGAGTGACAAAAGGTTTTCATTTTTGTTTTGTTTTTGGGACGTGAGCAATTTGTGGGCCAAGGGGAAGGAGAGATGAAAGATTCCGTGGGGGCGATTCGGTGATGGCTGGTCTCTGTGGAGATGGGAGGAATTGTGAGCCATGAGTTAATCTTTGCAAAATTCATTTCAACACCCTCACCATCCCCCCTTTTTTTTAATTTAAATTTTGTTAGTTACCACACAGTGCAATTTTGGTTTCTGGAGTAGAATTCAGTGATTCGTCACTTCCATGTAGCGCCCAGTGCTCATCACAGGTGCCCTCCCTAATACCCATCACCCATCTAGCCCATCTAGCCCATCCCCCACCCACCTCCCTCCATCATCCCTCGGTTTGTTCTCTGTCATTAAGAGTCAATTATGGATGGGGCACCTGGGCGGCTCAGTTCCTAAGTGTCTGCCTTCAGCTCAGGTCATGATCCCAGGGTCCTGGAATTAAACCCTGCATCTGGCTCCCTGCTCTGCGGGGGACCTGCTTCTCCCTCTTCCACTCCCCCTGCTTGTGTTCCCTCTCTGGCTGTCTCTCTCTCTGTCAAATAAATAAAATCTTAAAAAAAAAAAAAAAAAGTCACTTCTGGCTTGTTTCCCTCTCTCCTTTTCTTCTTTTCCCCCTTCCCATATGTTCTATTTTTTTTTTTTAATTCTACATATGAGTGAGATCATATGGTATTTGTCTTTCTCTGACTTACTTCACTTAGCATTATACACTCTAGCTCCATCCATGTCATTGCAAATAGCAAGATTTCATTCTTCATCTCCCCCTTCCTTAAGGCAGATTTCCCAACATTCTTTGTACAGTATTTGGGGTCACCAGTTTCGGAAATGATGATCTAGATTAAGAGCATCTCAAGGTCAGGGACCTCATTCATCTCTGAGGTGTAGCCTCTGGAACGGAATAGTTATGAGAACGGCAGGTGGACAGACAAAGTAAGGGGAGGAAGAAGGTCCCATCACCCAGACACAGGAGGCAACATAGAAAGAATGGGTATAGATGCAGGAAATGAAGATAAGGGGAGAAGTTGAAGCTCACAGTGAGCGGCCTCTATCCCATCAGCTGAGACAAGTCGACTAAGAGCAAGTGGGGCAGAGGTCTACAGTTAGCCTTGTGTGTATTTTCACTATACATATAGGATGTGAATTCTTTGTCATTGCAAACATTGCAGCAGCACACCCCTATTGATTTTCTTCTTTTAGTGTTTAAATTTTTTTTAATTTTTTTAAAGATTTTATTTATTTATTTGACAGACAGAGGTCACAAGTAGGCAGAGATGCAGGCAGAGAGAGAGGAAGGGAAGCAGGCTCCCTGCTGAGCAGAGAGCCCAATGCAGGGCTTGATCCCAGGACCCCAGGATCATGGCCAGAGCCAAAGGCAGAGGCATTAACCCACTGAGCCACCCAAGCGCCCCTAGTGTTTAATTTTTCTAAGTAATCTCTCTACCCAGCATGTCGCTCAAATTCACAACCCCGAGATCAAGAGTCACAGGCTCTACTGACTGAGCCAGCCAGGTACCCCATCACTGATAATTTTTTTTTAAATTTTATTTATTTATTTGACAAACAGAGATCACATGTAGGCAGAGAGGCAGGCAGAGAGAGGGGGAAGCAGGCTTCCCACTGAGCATAGAGCCTGATGCAGGGCTCAATCCCAGGACCCTGAGATCATGACCTGAGCTGAAGGCAGAAGCTTAACCCACTGAGCCACCCAGGTGCCCCCCCTGATGATTTTTAATGCCTTTTTTTGTGTTCCTAGTTGATGCTGTCTGAGTGGTTAATTGACGTCCCTTCGGATTTGGGGCAGGAATGGATTGTGGTCGTGTGCCCTGTTGGAAAAAGAGCCCTGATTGTGGCCTCCAGGGTGAGTCGCTGCCTCCTCCCTATCCCAGCATGCCTGGTCTGTGGCTGGAGGGATTCTTTGCACTTTGTGTTCCTTTTTTTTTTTTTTTTTTTTTTTTGGTGAGCATCAAAGCAAGGTTTATTGAGCGATAGCAAAGTGAGAGCACAAAGCTCCCAAGGAGGGAGGCAGCCTGAGAGGGTTGCCACCGGGGTTTCTAAGTCCAAGGGTTTTTATAGGCTTGTTAGCGGGCTATTTTCATCTGATTAACCCTCCCTGCACCTGTCATCCAAACTTGGGAAAGGGTGGAGAGCTCCTTCCAGGGTGGTGTAAGATCCTTTCAAGAGTGGTTTCCTTGGGGTGCCTGGGTGGCTCAGTGGGTTAAAGCCTCTGCCTTCCGCTCAGGTCATGATCCCAGAGTCCTGGGATCAAGCCCCGCATCAAGCCCCGCATCAAGCCCCGCATCGAGCCCCGCATCAGGCTCTCTGCTCAGCACGGAGCCTGCTTCCTTCTCTTTCTCTGCCTGTTTCTCTGCCTACTTGTGATCTCTGTCTGTCAAATAAATAAATAAAATCTTAAAAAAAAAAAAAAAAGAGTGGTTTCCTCTTAGGGCAGGGGCCCCTTGACCCTACCTGTCTGCCTTCCAACTATCCTTCATCATTCTCCCCTCTGAAGAGGTAACCCTAACTGCTGTTAGGGGAGAAGGGTGGCGACCATTCGAAGCTACTTCCTGCTGGTCAGGGTGTTGGATGGGGCGGCTGTCAGGATTCCTCTTGTCCCGATCATCAAGAGGTCCTCTGTAAATGTCTGGTTTGACCTCCATGTGAGCCTCCATCTGAACCACCTTTCGGAGTTTGATGACCTTTATCTGTCAGTTGTCCTTAACAATGGTGCAAATCCCAGACGAGCCCCCATAAATGTTTTAGGACTTTTTTCTCCATCGGTGCCTGTGGTTCTTGGTCACACCACTTTGAAGAATGAAGAGGTAGACCAGACAGAGTAGTGGGCAGCAAAGCAAGGTTTAATGAGCAACAGCAAAGTGAGGGTACAAAGCTGCCGAGGAGGGAGGGGGCCCGAGAAGGTCACCTGTGCTTCGAGTTCCCTATCTCCCTATCTCTTGCAGCCACTGGGTCTGGCATGCAGGAGAGCTAAGTTGAGAGCCGTCTTTGGGCCAATGACACCCCTGCAGACTGTGGAAGCAGAGGGTGAGGAGACCTTGATGCCTAATGGGAATGGTAACTTTCCACACAGGGTTCTACCAGCGCCTATACCAAGAGTGGTTACTGTGTCAACAGGTTTTCTTCCCTTCTGCCAGGGGGCAACAGGCGAAACTCAACAACAGCAAAAGGTACCTACATAAAATTATCTATTTATTCAGTTTGTTTGTATGTTTAGAAATATATATTTTAAAGTAATCTGTACACTCAACAGGGGTTCAAACTCCTGACCCCAAGTTCAAGAGTCACAAGTTCTACCAACTGAGCCAGCCAGGTGCCCTATTTATTAAGTTTTGTAATTAGTAAAAGACAGTGGAAGGTCCTTGGTTACTTGCTTTAAAGACTCACTTTGAAAAAGTATACCTTTGAAACTGTAGCTCTAGATTTGGGCCATCTCTTTCAAGTTCAAGGAAGTCGTATCCACTGAATTCAGGCCGTCTTCAAGGTCAGGCCTCCTCGGTTATAGAACAGATGCAGTCCTGTGAGGACTGCTGGGCAACAAACCCCTGAATTAAAGTTGACACACCTTCCCCATGGACACCCATTACAAGGTGACACATGCAGTTTTGCGTGGGGGAGGTCCCTTGGAATGCCGAGTGTAAAGTACAGTGAGCTGTTTCTGGGGCTTCCTGCCAAATTCCCTTTCCTCCTTTATCATTGTTCTAACCTTAGCCTCTCCAACCTAGGCTCCGCTGAGGAGACTAAGTTCACGGAGGTTAAATCACTTGCGGGCGGCCATTCATCGAAGTGGCAGAGCTGGACCTGAAACGCTGTTCTCTTCCCCGCTGGCTCAGGCTCCCTGGGTGGTTCTTCATGTGCTTGTTACCAAGCCTAGCCTTTCCTGTTAGCTTCTAGAGGGCCTCACACGTGCCTTTTGGCTCACCCATCCTCGTGTCTTTCCCCTACTCCTTACACCCACTCCTAGCTCTGGTCAGCTCGCTTGCCTGCTTGTTCCCCACATTTGGCCAGTTCATTTCACCTGGAGGCCTTTCCTCATGTCAGGTCAGTATTCTGGCCTGAAATGCCCTCCCACCTCCCTTCTGCCCTGTTGTTTTAATCCTCTGATCCCGGAAAACTACATCTCTTCCATGTTAGCTCTTCCGTGAAGAATTTCCTGCTTCTCTAGTCTCCCTCTTCTGGAATTCCTGTTGCTCTTAGTTTGTATGGTACAGTTCCACTCTTGGTTCTTTTCTGTGTGATCATCTTATCTCTACCTAGATTGTAAGTTCCTTAAAGGAAGGGACTACTTAGAGTTAATATTCCTCACAGAACACACCACCTATGATAGGAACTCAAAAGTGCATGTAAATTAAAATGGAAGATTGCTTGCTTTTGGATTGGAGCTTTCCTAAGATGAGTAAATGTCCCAGTTTATCTAAAAGTTTAGAATTCCCACCTGGCTTAAGGGTCGCCTTGATCTCTTTCATGCTGTCCTGCTCACATCACCCTTCAGCGGCACCAGGAGCAAGAAAGGGCCATGAAGAACTTTCTCCCTGGGGTGCATGGGTGGCTCAGTCATTGAGCATCTGCCTTTGGCTTAGGTCATGATCCTGGAGTTCCGGGATCGGGACCCGCATCGGGCTCCCTGCTCCTCAGGATGCCTGCTTCCCCCTCTCCCACTCCCCCTGCTTGGGTTCCCTCTCTCGCTGTGTCTCTGTCAAATAAATAAATAAAAATTAAAAAAAAAAAAAAAAAGAACTTTCTCCCTAATGAAGTCTGATTGGAATGGGCACCCAGTACTGACTTTCTGCTCTGTGTCCCCAGACTACACCATTCTGGACTGCATTTACAGTGAGGTGAACCAGACCTACTACGTTCTAGATGTGATGTGCTGGCGGGGACACCCTTTTTATGATTGCCAGGTAAGGACGGGTCCTTTCCTCGCGTCTTCCCGTTTTCTCCTCTCCTCCCAGGAAAGTGGCTCCGCGTGTGGGTTTGGTACGTGACCAGCTTCTGTGTGTGCACAGGATGTGGTATATCAAGAACATTATCTAATGTTCCTTGTATCTTTGTGTTTAAATTAGCTTCGTTTAAAAAAAAAAAAAAGAAGTAGGAGGAACTAAGGGAAGTACAGCAATCTTGAGGGGAGGAAAGAGTGAAAAGGAGCAGAGGGGTAGGCTGGGACTTTGTAGAAGTTGCAGCCGCCCCCTCCCCTCTCTCCAGAGTAGAGGAGGATTGCTGGCAGGGAAGACTCTGGGCAACAGGGATGCCACCTTGTGCAGGCTGCACAAGGAAGAGAAGGTGGAATTAAGTCACCATCGGAGAGTCTCCAGCCAGCTCCGCTGTCTCACCAACCACATCCTGACACTGAAAACAGCAGGGCCTCCTTCGTATGACACAATGGCTCGAATCTCTGAGGGTCCAGTTCTGGAAGGAGATTTTCCAAGTGAGGAGAACCCTCCCAATATTGTCCCCTCGAGTTTCACCTTCCCCAAAGGTTTTTCTGAGATTGGCGATTCCTATGAGTGACAGTCGCCGTCCCTGGAGTGAGGCTGGGTCAACCCCTTAGACTCCATTTCTGTTCCCAACACTCCCGCATCATTGTCTCAGTTTTCTTTTTTTTTTTTTTTAAGATTTTATTTATTTATTTGACAGACAGAGATCACAAGTAGGCAGAGAGGCAGGCAGAGAGAGAGGAAGGGAAGCAGGCTCCCTGTCGAGCAGAGAGCCCGATGCGGGACTCGATCCCAGGACCCTGAGATCATGACCTGAGCAGAAGGCAGCGGCTTAACCCACTGAGCCACCCAGGCACCCTGTCTCAGTTTTCTAGTGGTGATTTTTTTGTCCTCCCTGTCAATTAGTTTATCACAGTCCTTCTCACTGTGGTTAGAAATGCAAATTGGCAGACCTTATGAATCTGAGACTCTGGGGTCAGCTCACATTTTAACAAGCTTCAGGACCATCTTCATGCAGGCTCAAGTGTGAATCGCAGGTTGTCACCATAGGCTGCTGCTTTCTGTAGCCATGAGCCAGAGCATGGTTTCCCAAAGTACGAGGCTAGTTGGTGGTGCCACAGAATTCGAAAACATGCCTTGTCCTAACAATAATAGCTAAGACTTGCATTGCCAAGCACGTTTGAGCACTATCTCACTGAAGCCCTTATAACGACAATCTAAGGTGAGTGCTGCTGTCGTTCCTCACATATAGGCATGGGAAGCTGAGAGCCACAGATGGTAAGTACCTTGCTCTAGTGCAGAGACACACCTAAAACTCAGACCTCATAAATTCAGTGTCAAACATATTTTCCTTTAATTCTGCTGAAGGATATTTAGTAACATGTATTCACAACCTATAAATTTGGTTACTAGAGTTACCTTTATTTCGGGGCGCCTCGGTGGCTCAGCTGGTTAAGCGTCTGCCTTAAGCTCAGGTCATGATCCTGGGGTCCTGGGATCGAGCTTCATGTCGGGCTTCCTGCTCAGCAAGGAACCTGCTTCTCCCTCTGCCCTGCCCCCCTGCTTCTGTGCACACCACATGTACACACTCTCTCTCTCAAATAAAATCCTTAAAAATAAATAAAATTGCCTGTATTTCTATAATATATAGAATAGACTTCTTAAATTTTTTTTAAAGTTTTTATTTATTTAACAGAGAGAGACACAACAAGAGAAGGAACACAAGCAGGGGGAGTGGGAGAGGGAGAAGCAGTCTTCCCACTGAACACGGAACCTGATGCAAGGCTCGATCCCAGGACGCTGGGATCATGATCAGAGCTGAAGGCAGACGTTTAATGACTGAGCCACCCAGGCACCCCAGACTTTTTTTAATTTTTAAAAGCGAAATAATGTACAAGAAACAAAAGGCACTTAATAGTTACAGAAGGATACATATCAGGAATTCAGAAAATAAAGTAGTTTATAAGAAGTTACAACTACATAGTAGTTTCTAATCCTCAGAATTAAAATAAAACAGATATTAACATAATGTGCTTTGGAGTTAGAGTACAGGGTCGCCTTATATTTTCTGTGGGGAAATGATATAATCTCTGTGGGCCTCAGAGTCCTCAACTGTAGAATGGAGATAATCATAATCCAACTCTCAGAATGTGGTTGAGGGTTAATAATGATGTGCATAAAGCCCTTAGCATGGAGCCTGACACCCAGTAGGCCTTCAGTGATATATGTTGGCTCGACTACTTTTAAAAAACCTTACTGGCAGGGCGCCTGGGTGGCTCAGTGGGTTAAAGCCTATGCCTGCGGCTCAGGTCATGCTCCCAGGGTCCTGGGATCAAGCCCCGCTTCGTGCTCTCTGCTCATCAGGGAGCCTGCTTCCTCCTCTCTCTCTGCCTACCTCTCCGCCTACTTGTGATCTCTGTCTGTGAAATAAATAAAATAAAAATCCTTAAAAAAAAAAACCTTACTGGGTTTTAAGAAAAAAATCTTCAAAGATTTTTTTTTTTTTTAATTTTATTTACTTATTTGACACAGAGAGAAATCACAAGTATGCAGAGGCAGGCAGAGAGAAGGGGAAGCAGGCTCCCCGCCGAGCAGAGAGCCCGATGCGGGACTCGATCCCAGGACACTGAGATCATGGCCTGAGCTGAAGGCAGAGGCCCAACCCACTGAGCCACCCAGGCGCCCCTTCAAAGATTTTATAAACATATTCCTGACCTTATGGCAGTATTTGAAGGAACAAAGAGGGTAATGATAGAGGGGCTTAGGTCTCTAAAAATTAGGTGGCTGTTTAGAATGGGGAGTTTTGTTCGTGTTATAGTTTGAAATGAGCAGCATTTCATCTTTCTGTTTCCCTTCTCTGTGGCAGACTGATTTCCGATTCTACTGGATGCATTCAAAGCTACCAGAAGAAGGACTGGGAGAGAAAACCAAGCTCAATCCTGTAAGGCCTGGTGTTAGGACTATAGGATTCTTTAGGGGGATTGGTTTGGATTGTTCTCTTATCTAAATATAATCATTATGAATGAAATTATCTTGTTGTGAGGTAGCATGGCACAATGGGAAGGATGTGGGCTTACCAGCCTTCCACATCTGAACCAGTTTTGGCTTTAACAATTACTAGCTAAAGTTGATAATCTCATTTGGCCTTAGTTTCTCCATCTGTGTAATAGGGTTAATAACACCCGCTTTATAGGGTTGTTCTAAGAACCAAGGGATATGAAGTGTGCATGTTCTCCTAACATGATGCTTGTGGTAGTCACTCAATAAATAGGGGTTGATATAAAATGCTAGTAACTGCTTTTATTAATAATGCTCTTTAGAGCTCTAATATCCTGGTTCTCAAACTGTAGCATGTGTCAGCACTATCTGGAGGCCTGGTAAACATAGATGCCCAGGCCTCCCCTCCGGAGTTTCTGATTCAGTAGGTCAGGGTGAGCCTGAGGATTTGCATTTCTAACACTGGGGAGTGTTGCTGGTGCTGCTAGTCCACGGACCACACTTTGAAAACTTCTGTTCTTGTATCTGAGCTGAGAGTGACCTCATCTAGTCAGCTGCCTCATTTGACAGATGAGGATGTAAGCTCAGAGAGGGGTCTGCCTTCCCCAAGGTCCCACAGCCCAGGATGCCAGCCCCTGTATCTTTGCTACCCACTCAGCAATTAAATATGCGAGAGCTACGTTCAGGGCATTTTATTAGCAAGGCCCTGTAGATTGGCATTTGCTTGGATTGTTTACAACACTTTTAAAGGCATTTGGATAACCAATTACAGGACAGGTCAGCATCAGTGATGTTACCAGGAAGGTCCTGGAAGAACATGTATTGAGGAAGGGGAACATGGGAGCAGCTGTGTCTGAAATGTTCTAAGAACTCTGCATGTATTATCCCACTGAGCCTGTGCAACGATCCTATGAGGGAGATATTTTTATTATCCTATTTTATAGATGGGAAAGCAGAGACATATACAGATGAAATGATGCAAAGTTGGGAGTGAAACCCAACCAATCTGACTTTAGAGTTTTAGTCCTAATCACTTTGTTACACTGTTTGTTCAGGCTAAAAATCCATGCTGATATGAAAGGAGCTGCAGTAGCCCTTCTTAGGACTGTCATATGGCTTCGAGAATAACATACGGTCCTTAAATCTAGCACAGGACAGTGGTTCTCAGTCCTGGTTTTGTGTCAGAATCAACTGGATAGCTTTAAAGAAAAAAAAGAAAGAAAGAAAAAATGCCTGGGACTCATCCCAGGCCAATTCAGTCAGAATCTTGGGGTGGGCCCTGGACTTGAGTGATTTTTAAGAGTTCCCTTGGTGATTCTTGTGGCTAAAGCAAGGTTGAGAATTAACAACCCAGTAATTCAGAGGGTGGGGGTGTATAGGGAAGGATGAGACTGAACTTTTCTTCTTTAATACAGTTTCACTTGCTGGAACCAATATTATTTGTAACATGTACTAATTCTTTGCTCTAATTTATTTTAGTTTAAATTTGTCGGACTAAAGAATTTCCCTTGTACTCCAGAGAGCCTGTGTAAGGTGCTGTCTATGGATTTCCCTTTTGAGGTAACCACCGTTGTCCTTACTGCTCTGATGTGACTGCAGGACGCAGGGAAGCTTGGTCACATAGACTCTTCGGATATCCTCTGACTTTGCTGTGTCAGAGCATCAGAGAGGGGCTGGAAGCTGATTCTTGGGGAAGATGTGCCACTGCCCTTCAGAGCCTCAGCTCTGCCCGACTAGATAAGTCAGAATGCCAGGGCTGGAAGGGCCCTGGGAGGACAGCTCATCTACACCCCTCATTGTACAGATGGAAAGGTGGGGGCACAGGGAGGGGCAAGGCTTCCATTCCTAGGTCCTTCTTGGGTACCTGTTTTCTGCTATGAGCCTGAGAGCCAGGTCGCTTGTTTGACTGCCATAGCTGTGGGTAAAGTTGGGGGCTTCTGTGACTGACAGACCAAGGGGGCATGAACTCTTATCCTCCCTCCCAAGACAGATGGTCCCTGGGGGTGGTGGTGCTTGCTGAGCAGTGGCTGAGAGCAGGGTGACCAGCCTGTCCAGTTTGTCCAGAACTTCCCCAGTTTAGCACTGGTCTCACATCCCTAGAATCTCCTCAGTCCTGAGCAGTCTTTTGTCATCCTTAGAACCTGCAGTTACCGTCTCCAGGCTCAGCACAAAAACTTTCCTTTGCCCCTCACACCCTTTAAAATTCTGCCTAGTCACCCACAAGAAATTGCTTGAACCCAATATTATTTTGCTTTTTCAGTGGGTTAATCCTATGCCTTAGGCTCAGGTCATGGTCTCAGGATCCTGGGATCGAGCCCCATATCGGGCTCTCTGCTCAGCAGGGAACGTGCTTCCTCCTCTCCCTCTGCCTGCCTCTCTGCCTACTTCTGATCTCTCTCTCTGTCAAACAAATAAATAAAATCTTAAAAAAAGAAAAAAAAGGATCACAGCTTCCCAAATGCGGAAATGGCAAAGGCCAAGTTGCCTTCAATTCTGGGAGTCAATTAAGAAGGTGGTAAGAACACCATCTTTATTTATAATCCATATGCCCCAGTGACAATAAATGCTTTTTAGAGATGAGTCACTGAATCGTGGAAAAGAAAATGTGGGACTGTAGGAGGTCTTCCTGTTGAGAAAAACTGAGTTTCCCAGAACATAGCTCGCAGACAATTTAGGGGGAGGTGTGGCAACCAACAACGGCATGGGGAACAGAGCTTCCTGACAGCCTGTTTCCCCTGTGCTCAGCAGTCCAGCGTCTTGGAGGGGCCTGTCCAGTTCCCCTGCTTTGTTCCCTGTGTGGAATACATTCCCCATTACAGAGGCGTCTGAGTGGTGAAAAATGCATGGGATCTGGGGACAGAAGACCCAGGCTCAAGTTGAATTTCAGCTTCATACTGTGTTTTTATTTTTATTTATTTTTACTTATTTTTAAATTTTTTTTTTTTTTTAGGATTTTTATTTGTTTACTTGAGAAAGAAAGTGAGCAAGAGAGAGAAAGAGATCACAAGCCAGGGAAGGGGCAGAGGGAGAGGGAGAAGCAGACTACCCACCAAGTAGGGAGCCCAATATAAAGCTCCATCCACAGGACCCTGGGACTGTGACCTGAGCCGAAGGCAGATGCTTAACCGAGTCACCCAGGTGCCCCTGTTTTGTTTTCTTTTTAAGATTTATTTATTTTAGAGCGATTGAGAGCCCAGGTGGGAAGGGAGGGAAAGGAAGAGAGAATCTCAAGCTGACACCGTACTGAGCGTGGAGCCCCATGCGGGGCTTGATCTCACAACTCTGAGATCACCACCTGAGCTGAAACCAAGAGTCAGGCACTCAACCGACTCTGCCACCCGAGCCCCCCCATACTGTGTTTTTAGGGAGGACCCCAGAACTAGCCCTAGCCTCTTAAACACCCTCGATGGTGGGCAGGAGGATAAAGTAGCAAGCAGCCTGTAAACAAGAAGGTGCTATGTATGTTTTTAATATTCTAAAATTTAATTTTCTAGGCCATTTCTTCATCTAGAGAAATTGTGCACATGTGAGAAACAAGGATTCTTCTCCCTCTGGCAGTGGTCCAGAAAAGGGAGTTGGCCCTCTAGAGCTGCCCCTGTGTGCCTAGGCTCTCCTGGAAACACGGAGGCCCAGAAGTCATTTTGGTCACTCGCTTCCCCTTTTTGTAGGTAGATGGACTCCTCTTCTACCACAAGCAGACCCACTATAGCCCCGGAAGCACTCCTCTGGTGGGCTGGCTGCTCCCCTACATGGTGTCAGATGTTCTTGGCATAGCCATGCCAGCCGGCCCGCTGACCACCAAGCCGGAATACGCCGGGCTCCAGCTCCAGCAGATTATTGAGCATAAGAGAAGCCAGGAAGGCATGAAGGAGAATGTTGCACACAAGGCATCCGAGAATGGGCGCTATGAGTTGGAACACCTGTCCACCCCCAAGCCGAAGAGTCCTTCCCGTAGTAGCCTGGACCCCGCAGAGAGCCTCATGGAGAACTAAACAGCGTGGCTCCTTGTGGAATCACAAGATGGTGCTTCGTCCCAAAAAGAAGGCTGGGGAGGAAGATAGTGACAACATCAGGTTATTTCATTTTAGAGTGGACTTTCCAAAGCCACTCCAGCTGGATATAGCTTATCTCCTATCAGAAATGCTGGCTCAAACCACTGAATGAGGTTCCCAGATTGGGTGGTCTTTGGATTTGAGCAGTAATTCCTGTAAAAATATATCCCAGATATTCACAGTGTAAATATAGGTAATTCTTACGAAAGAAGTTGTTTGTGGTTCTTAAACTTTAGCTGGTCATGACTCTCCCCAACCTTGACCCTCCCTCCCCTCCCCCGCCCCGCCCCACCCCGCCCCCAGGTACCTAAACCATGACTGTTCAAGTCTTGGCCCATTTCACTGTTTTTAGCACTTAAGCATTCTGCTGAGTTTCCAGTTGCTGCTGTTACTAACGTCATTTTCTAAAAGGTCTTACCAGGAACTGCAGTTCTTGGTATTTGAATATGTTCCCTCTTCTGAGAAGTGTGATTTTCTTTGGTTTAGACAATGCCAGAGATAAAATGCAAATGGAGTTCATTCACAACTTCGACAAACATTGCTGCCTTCCAGAAGATAAGCCTTGTGCTGGGCCAGCAGCGATGTAGATAAAGGGGGTTGTGGAGATAGATAGGACTCAGACTCTGCCCTTGAGGATTAACAGTCCAGTGGAGGAAAAAAACCCACCAGCAGGGAGGTGAGAAGATTGCTTTAGGGCTGAAAGATGCAGAGAGCCTGGGGCAGGATAGCAGAGGGCAGTAGCTCCAACCAGAGAGAAGATTGGAGTTAGACTGAGGCTCAGGGCAGGATTGAAAGTGCTCCAGGGACACGGAGAACAGGAGAGCAGGAGCTTCTCACAGAGGCTGGAGGGCATGCAGCTGCTCCCTCTGGAGCAGGCCAGACTCGCTCTGGGATCTGGAACTGGTTCAGCATGGCTCAGGCTTAAATGAAGGCTGGGGAGCTGCCCAGGAGGAGGCTGGAGAGAGATAGGTAGGCCTAGGTATCAGGTTTTGGATTTTATGCCATGGAAGAACTTTGAGCAGGCCAGATCCATTCAGATTTGTAAACTAGGGTTCTTTGGCAGCAGTGGCAGTGGAAGATAGCGTCTAAGTCTAAAACCAACCAATTCGTTTCTGTTCTGTCTTCAGGAAATGTGTCCCATTTCCCGTGACCTCAATCTGCAGCTCACACTGCTTTCCACCTTTCTAGGATTTCTTTTATTGGACAAAAAGAGTTCGCTATTTCACTCCAGCAATACTAGCTGGTGTCCTGTGGACAAAATATTGGGGGCATGCAGGTCAGATCTTTGTTTGACTGGCAGTTGGTTCCTTTGTGTTAATTCTGGGAACAGATCTGGGCAGAAGTTGTGGTTAAGTGGAGCCCGATGACACAAATGCAGCACACCAGTGGAACTAGCCTCAAGGCTGGGCTCTTACAAAGCTGCTTGAGCTGATTCTATAAAAATCAGAGAAGGAAGACAACACTTCCCACCCCCATAATGATCCTGCTGGCTGCAGAGTGAGGCTTGCCTACACCAGTACGCTCTTTTCTGAATTTGGGTCAATTCTGCAATGGGAGCGTTGTGTTCCTGTTGCCAAGAAGCATGCTGTCGGCTGCCTAGATGCTGCGTGATCTCCCCAAGGAGAATGCACTGGTCTGTGCTCTCAGCAAGCCAACTGCATCATTTCAGGAGTTGGGCATGCTAGCTAGTATCAGTAGAGACTTGGCCGGGCTCTGCTCAGAAATAAGCCAGTCTGGACAGACTACTTCCACAAAAGGACACTCTTGGGAGAGAGATGCAGGAGCCGCAGAACATACCAGGCAAACTTACTACCAAGCACATCTTGATATTGCTCAACGATAGCTTGAAGGATATATTTCAGAGGAGTGCCCCTTCTATTTTTAACGGAGGAGCCAATATGATCAATCACTGAATGGCGTGTCTTCTGGTCGTATTTCTTGTGAATTGTAAAACCACCTCCTGCCACCTCTTTCAAAGATGGCTACATCAGTAAGTTGTCGTGATTCGGTATTAGCTTTCTGGCCACCCTTCCGAATAGTGACCAGTTTCTTTTTGTGGAATGATCTCTTCCCCATGCAGTGTGTGTGGTCTGGTGGAGCTGTCATCTGGGGGAACTGCCCTCCTTCAGCGAAACATCAGGCTCATGACTCAAGATGGACCAGTCACACACTCCTCACCAAGAATCTGTATCCTGAGCAGAGGAACAAAGAAAGTGAATCTGCTGGAATTCATTTTATTTTGCCCTTGGAAGGGTAGAGAGTGTTGCTTGTTCTTGCTGTTAAACAAATGAGCACCCAGTAAATTCTATCTTCTTAAATTAGCCAGAACTGATTTCTGGGCTTGCAACTGAAGGATCCTAGCTGATACCATCGCTTGTGGCCTACCCCACTTGCCTTGGCTAGAGGACCAGCTTGGCATGAGTTAGCTAAGGACTACTAGTTGAGATCACCTATGTCATCTCAAGTGCCATTGGAACAGCAGCACCTGGAAAAGACTAGGCTTTTCAACCAGTTGCTGCAAAGTAAGCAGTCTTAGTTGTTTTACTGTTGACTCAGAAAGCTAAGCTGGGTCCTAATGCCTGCATCAAAGAGTTGGTGTCATCCTAATTCCCCTGTGTTTGATAATAGTTTGTCTATAATCACTGCTTTTTCACTAGTTCATTTCACACTCGTGTCAGAAATCTGACTTCTGTTCCTACCACTTTTGAGTGCTCTCATCAAGGGACTGCTGGTCTCCTCTTTTCCAAATATAAGGGACATTTCCCAGCCTTTCTCTTTTCTGACTTCAACTGTGTATTTGCTGATGCCTTCCATGAACTCTAGCCCTATCTATATATCTAACTCCTTACCAGCCAATCTCTCAGTCACCTCTCAAATTTGGCATGTCCCAAACTGAACTCATTATTTCTCCCCCACAGTCCCTCTCAGTCGTGCTCTCTTCCTGAGATCCTTGTCGTTGTTAGTAGCATTTAGTCACCCCAGCTAGGAACCTAGGTATTCTTATGATTCCTGTCCATTTCTTTCTTACCTTTCACAGCTAGTGAGTCACCATATCCTTTAAACTCCACCTCTCTCTTCTCCATTTCCTCTATGACCTAAGGCCTTAATTCAAGTCTTTCTCATCCTGGAGTACTGCCAGAGTTTCTTACCTAGTTTCCTGCCACCAATCCTCCCCATCCACCCTATCCACTCCTGCCACAACTGGCAGAGTGATCCTTTCTAAAAATGCATTGCTTCAAGGATTTCCCATTGCCTACAGGCTTCTCAGCCTGCCATGCAAGTTTCTTCATGACCTGGGCTTAGCATATCTGTCCAGCCTCATAAATTACCTTCCTTCCTTTGCTGCCTCCTCTCCAGGGATCTGCTCTACAGTTCCTTATACAAACACATGTGTTTCATGTTACATCCTTCCACCCCCACCACCATGTCCCTCCTCACTCGGACTTCATTCATCTGGTAAATATATCCACACGTCTTTGGAAAACTCCATTCAGCGGATACCTGGTTGAACCTTTACCTCTGCAGGTAGAATTAGCCATTCTCATGTTTGTGCCCTCCTCATCCCGCTGCATATATCTCTCTCCCAAGTTTAGGGATAGTCCCCGAGACCATACTTCGGTTTGATAATTCTCCAGAAGAACTCACAGAACTCACTGAAAGCTGTTATACTTAGGGATAGAGTCTGTCACGGTGATAGGAAACAGATTAGTTAGCCTAGGGCAGAAATGCACAGGGCCAAGTTCTGAAAGTTCCAAACGTGGATCTTCCAGGTATCTTCTCCCAGTGGAATTATGGATAGCATTTATGTCTCTGGGACCTGTGTATGATAGTCCTCAGGGAGTATAGTCAACCAGAGAATTTCACCTGAGCCTTGGTGTCCCAAGTTTTTATTGGAGATTTTTCATTTGGACCTAGTTGGTGGACCTCAGTCTCTAGCCTCTCCAGAGGTATAACTGATTACACATGATCAAAAGTCCTCCTTTCCCCTAATCACACTGCTAGACTATCTGGTATGGCCAAAGACCCCCAGGCCAACACAGAAACTTTCTCAGGACATTTCAAAGACTTGGAGGTTATTTCCTAGGAGTCGAAGACGGCAAAGGGCAACTTCTCTTTGGCAACATTAAATTCCTTACTTCACACTCCCTCTATTAGATTGCAAGCTCCTTTTTTTCCCCCAAAGATTTTTATTTATTTATTTGACGGAGACAGAGTGTACGTGCACAAGAAGGCTGAGTAGCAGGCAGAGGGAAAGGGAGAAACACGCTCCCCTCTGAGCCGAAAGCTCAACTTGGAGCTCTATCCCAAGACCCAGGAACATGACCTGAGCCAAAGGCAGACACTTAACCAACTGAGCCACCCAGGCACCCCTAGATTGCAAAATCTTTCAGGTCAGAAACCTGGTCTTACTCATCTTTAGCGCTCTAGTGCCTGGCCTGGATTAAAATGTCAGCTGGGTGAATGAAATGGTGAGCTGGAATGAGAAGGCAGTTTGAGGGACAGTCCCTTTTCTCTACTGCACAGAGGAGTGACCCTGGAGAGGTCACTGGAGTGGCCCCGGAGAGGAGGCTGAGTGGAAGTGTGTGGTGGGCGGCTAACGGATGGTTGGATATGCTGCAAGTTCTAAGAACAAGAACTATATTTAGTTCTCTGAATGTGCTTAAAAGGACAACTTAAAAACTTCTCATACACTGGAGGAGGGAAAGAAATGATCTTCATAGCTACAGATTTCCTCTCTAGTAAGGAAGTGAGCAAAAACCTCACAATACATATTTTTAAGCAGATGTGGTCATTTGTCTTATGCATTGTGATATGTAGGGCAGGAAAAGTAGACAAAAGCCCTGAGATCTTGGCAAGAGTATGACTGCTTGTTTTGGTAAGATGCACTGATTTCTGAGTTCTGCCCTGTCTTAGGATTCTGTGATTACACCCAAATTTATTTTTTTAAAGATTTTATTTATTTATTTTAGAGAGTGCATATGCATCCAGGGGGGAAGGGCAGAGGGAGAGGGAGAAAGTGTCTTAAGCTGACCCTGCACTGAGCACGGAGCCCGTTGCAGGGCTAAATATCACGACCTCGAGATCACAACCTGAGCTGAAACCAAGAGTCTGACGCTTAACAGACTATGCCACCCAGGCACCCCAGAACCAAGTTAATTTTTTTCTTTTTTTAATTATTTTTATTAATATATAATGTATTATTTGCCCCAG